AGGCTGAGCCCATCACCAATGATGGTAGCACCTCTGTGATAACATATTTAAGAAGGGGGCAAAAAAAGCTGCGCAAGAGCAATTGAAGGCAGACAGAGGAGTGAGAATATGTGAGAGAAACAACTCTGCAGGCACCAAGGTCAGTAAGGAGGGGAAGGAGATGCTCCAGATGCCAGAGCAGAGATTCCCCTGCAGCCCATGGTGCAGGCCATGGTGAGGCAGCTGTGCCCCTGCAGCCCGTGGAGGTTAACTGTGGAGCAGATCTCCACCTGCAGCCCAGGGAGGACACCACAACAGAGCAGGTGGATGCCTGAAGGAGGCTCATGGGAAGCTCATGCTGGAGCAGGCTTCTGGGAGGACCTGTGGCCCTGTGGAGAGAGGAGCCCATGCTAGAGCAGGTTTGCTGGCAGGACTTGTGACCCCATGGGGGACCCATGATGGAGCTGTCTGTTCCTGAAGGATGGCACCCTGTGGGAGGGACCCACGCTGGAGCAGCAGAAGAGTGTGAGGAGTCCTCCCCCTGAGGAGGAAGGAACAGCAGAAACAACATGTGATGGACTGACTGCAATCCCTGTTCCCTGTCCCCTTGCGACACTGGTGGGGGATAAGGTAAAGAAAAATCAGGAGTAAAGTTGAATGCAAGAAGGGAGAGGTGAGGGAAAGATGTTTTAAGATTTGGTTTTATTTCTCATTATGCTATTATTTGATTGGTAGTTTCCACAGTCAAATCTGTTTTGCCTGTGATGGTAATTGCCGAGTGATCTCTTACTGTCATCTTGACCTACAAGCCTTTCATTATATTTCGTCTTCCCTGTCCAGCTGAGGAAAGAAGTGATAGAGCAGCTTTGGTGGGCACCTGGTGTCCAGCCAGGGTCAACCCACCACACAAGTGCTCATCTGGCAATAGCCACTCCAATAGCTCATCTCTATTAGCTGCTCTCATTGGGGAACATGTACATCATCAGAGAAATGCCGCAGTATGCAGTGCTGTCTTAGCAGAATCCTGTTCCCGTCAGAATTTTTTCTTTTCCTGGAAAGATGAAGGGTGTATACCCTTTATGTATACGTATTATCGTAACATGTATAGCTACTCACAAAGACAGCCAGATTTGTTATGTTCCCGTTAATTGAACAGTACTGTTATATATCAAACAAATAATTTAGCAGTAGATAGCCTTAGTTACTCAGTTAATCAAGTTTGGGGACTTAAATCTATTGCAACACGTGCAAGCTAGAAGCAGCTCATTTGTAACTTAGGTCTCCAAAAATTTTATTATACCACTGTTTTTTGAACTATTCTAGTCTCAGTTCTTCCTTAGCTTATTTTATGGTACATCTTCCACATCAGCTACCTACAGAAACAATGGCTATGGCACAGACTAATAATTAGCACAGACATATTTTCATAAAGAAGCAATATGTATGTTTCTAGTTGCAGATGAGGAAAATATACAGTGGCAGACAGAAAGGAATATTCAAATAGGTTTTATAAAGGCATGTTCAGCTATGTTTACTTTGGCTCAGTTCTTAGATCTAATTATTTTTAGAGTGGTTCAGAGGTATTGATAGAGCCTTGTCAGTATTGATAGACTTACTAGCCAACCTGAGAAGATAGGATACAGTTGATGGCAGTGTCTATATCTACCTCATCATTATGTACAATTCCATTCTAAGAAGTGTTTAACAGAACTTTGTTTTATTAATCCAAGAACTTCACTGAATATTGCAGACAGAGATAGATGAATCTAAAGTCACTGAAGATTCTAACAAGTTTATCAGGATAAATACTTCCTAAAATGTTTTCAAGTCAGTACAGTATTAAGAAAAATAGTAACAATGTGAAATAATAAACCAAAGATATAGAGCTGTCTGACTGGATAAGATACTCATCACTAAAGACTTCTACAATGCATGTTTTCCTTGTGGCTTTGCTACAGAATTCCCTGGCTAAATTAGTGTGAGTCACACAACGTCCCTCTAAGTCAATTACTCAACTGATAATGTGGGGAAAATAATGCCAGTATATTAAGAATGCAGGGTTGCTAAAGGTTTCTTTTTTTTTTCTTCTTCTTCTTCTTGTAAAACATTTTGTGCAAGATCCTGATATAGTACAATCTTGCCTAAGGGCTGCTGAAGTCAGCAAGACCTTTAACATAAGACAGACACACAAAATATTACTGGGAGAGTAGATAGTACCTTATATTACTACTTAGGCTCTTTTCAGCTTGGTGGCACTTCAGCATTCTAGATGACTTACAAACACAGTGGGCACAGCTGTCAATATCACTTTACAGCCATCATCAGATAGCTATCAAACCAGCAGTGTGGGGATATAAATATAGATCACATAAATACAGCTTGCTAACCACAAGATTAGCTACTCCAACAAACCAACTATTCATTTCCATTCGAAACACAACTAGCAGAGATCATCTGCAGAGCAGGATTTCCTGATGCTTTTCTTACCTGCAGGACTTCTGACTGTACCATGCCCTGGGAACAGGGCAGTAATGCTGGTTCTCATGTCAAAAGCTTACAGCTGCACATGTGTGGTTTTTTGTGGTTTATTCTGCAGATTGTGGCTGATCTAGCATACTATAAGGAAGCAGAGCCTGTCTTGGGAATAGCTACCATTACACAGCCAAACCGCAAAGAAATTTTGGGCTTTATTCTTAGGAGCATTTATTTCAGTGTAGGGTATTCAGTTTCTAAAGCCTCAGCCTAGTAACTTACACCTTAGAAACTATATTCACCTAAGATCATTTATCCAAATGAAGCCAGGAAATGTAGTGAAGGCCTTTGTTAAGATTTACATTTAATTTACACCCACATTTTCCATTTTTGGAAACTAAATATTTATGTAGTCATTGTTGAAAGTATTATTTAGCTGACACTGTAGTGATTCCTAAGTAATGTTTCTTCTTTGTAGTTTTATAGCAGTGAAAAAATAACATTTAGAAAATGCCTCATAATGGAATTTTTGCATCCTCTGAAAAGCTGGGCATTTCACATTGAGAAATCCCAGCAACTTTAATGAAAACACAGAAAAGCTTATGAAATCCAAAATGCCACTTCATCATTAGACAAATTCCTAAAGCTACTTAGTTTTCATTTTAATGCCTAATTTTTGCCCAACTCTGACTTGCAAATTATGGTATAAATACATGTAATACTTAAAAAACACAAAGATGCAAACCGTAATCTTTAAATTGATTACATGCCAGGCTAATGCTTAGAACTTTAGAAACTGTTTATAAGCAGATATTTAAAACCAGACGTATCATCTTTTCAAAGGCAATCCTTAAAAAGGATTGCAACAATTTGTCTTGGGCAAATTTTGGTCTGGTATTAATTTACAGTTGTATTTAGAAAAAAAAGAGCATTTAACTTCTAGTCTTTTAACCTGTACTGTATTGGGGTTATTATATTTCTCAGAACGAGGTGATCAGTCGACATTGCAATGCATAAATCAAAGATCTAATTGTAATATATAAAAGGACATTACTGTACTCACTTTCAAGACTGTTAGGCAGACACGATCCAACTTCTATAATTAATACCAATAATCATGATTGTTTCACTGCTTATCTTGTCTTCCCCTCCATTCTCTTCACTCTTTTAATTTGAAAGGCTTACACCTTGAGCAACCATACTAAATTTTGCTGTTTTCCTACTGTTGTAAGACAGTAAAATAGTTTTTGGCTAAGTTGTGGCAGTGTTTCAATATGGAATACAGTTCATCCTGACTCAAAATGTTGTACTATATGTCTTCCTCTAAGTATGATCTGTTAAGCTTGTAACTCTTAGTTAAGATCCATATATTGCCAAAGCATTGCTATGGTACTAATAACCTCCATCTGAGGAATTTTCCAGGTCTCATCTCTGTTAACATGCTGTGCCTGAAATGACATATAGCCTCAAAGTTAGGACTGGACTACTGTCATCCTCTAAAAGGGAGACCACATGTGTGCTGAGGAAGTGAAGTTTTTACTTCCTAATTCTGCTATGTGAACATGAAAAAGGAGAACAAAAGACAGTAACTGCTCTCAAAGAACCAAAACTACAGCCTGAAAGAATGTGAGGCTTGAAAACCAGATCTGCATATAAATTGTTAAAGTAGCTGACAGAAGCTTTTCTCCTTTGGACTTCCATTAAATTATGGAAGATTCAAAAATGGCACAAAAATATTTAGGCTAGTATTCCTAAGGATTTGAGTGGAAATATGTTTTATTCACTTTGGCGTTCTGAAAAAATGAATGTTTGTGATAACCTTTGTCTAAAATGGGTAAATTTTATTTATATGTTTCATTTGGAATTCAGATGAAAAACTCGCCTAAATGCCTGTCTAAAAGGTCAGTTTTGACGCAACTGACCTAATCCCCTACCATTTTGAAGTACTATATTGTTCTCTTCTGCCAGTATTATGTAGTTTCATAGCCTTGTTTGTTGTTCCTTCTTCCATTAAAGGAAATGTTAAGCAGATCTATTAACTATGTAGTTCACTTACTTGGATCTTTTCTTTGAAGCTATTATGAATCAGCAAATGAAAATTCTCAAAACAGATTTAAGCACAAGCAATCCTTGGTTGCAACTTTCTCAAACCAATAGAGTACTCCCAACATTTCTGATTATGAATTTGGAAGAGCCAGAAAATGAACTTCACCTGAGATACTTGTCTCTTAGTAATATGAGTTCTTAATTCTTGAATTTTTTAAAAAAACTAAATCACAGGGTTCTTATTTCATGCAAAAGTAAAGAACAACAAGAAAGTTTGCTACTACTGCATTACCAAGAAAACTGTTGCCAAAGAAAATAGAGATTATCTTTGTACAACTGATAGAACACACGTAATATCAGATCTTAAATTAAGAAAAAGCATGAGAGCTCACTGTGACTAATCATTACTATTTGGGAGACCCAGCTGATTAGCCTTGAAACATTCAGTAACTTCTCCTTTAACTAATTTTTAAAAGAACATTTCAAAATGACACTGTACTTACTGGATTAAGAACCACTGTGAAGAACAACTCTCCTCCTTGAATACTTTTGTCTAGTTCCTTCGGGCCTCCAGGATACTCTTTATAGAAAATTGTGTGGGTGAATAAGCCACAAGTTTGCCTAGGAAGCACCTGAATTTATTTAAGAAAAAAAAATATTCAAGAGAAATTCACAAAGCAAAAATGTTTATACTTCTAATGAGGTAATGAATGCCAGATAAGCAACACATAACTAATAATGTTCCTTTGTGATAATTGCTGGGTAGATTTGGCATCACAACTTTCCCAGAAGTCAAAAATGATCTAGTTGAATTAATACGCTGGTAGATCAATAAATAGCGCTTACTGAAAGAAACAACATTTTTATTATCAGTGAAATCATAAGGTCCAAAAATCCATCACATTTTGTTTGACACTAGAGATTGATCTCAGTCAGTAAGTTAAAATTCAGCAACCTCCTCAAGATAATTTTATCTGTAACACCTGATTATAAAATCAAGTATTTGAAGTCTGGCCATCAAAGATTTCTAAAATTTTAAAATAATTTGAAACATAATCTGAAATTTTATCAGTGTATAAGGCATTAATCAGTTCTACTTTTTATTTGAATGATGGTTTTGTTGTAAATTTAAACTGGAATTTGAAAGGGTTTTTTGGCTTGGGCTTCACCCCCAATAATAATTCTACACCGACACCCGATGATTTTTGCCAATAATGCTCACATTATAAGACAGATTTGCTTCTCATTCAACTGTGCTAGTTTTGTAACACCAGTTGCAATAAAAAGTAGCATAAACAAAAGTATTTTAAAAAACATGCAAAGAACAAGTCTTTTGAATAGGAAGAACTAATAACTGCAGTTAAGTTTTCCAGAACTTAAAAATATTTTCTGTCAACTTCAGAATATAATTTGCTGGAGAGCATTACAATCATGTCTAATTTTTTAAGAAAATAGCTGAGTATTGATGTTCATGTATAATTCTTAAACTGGGATTGTCTCAAAGATTTTAGTTGAATTTAAAACATTTATTATATGATAGCTTAAACTTCTAAAGCATGCAAACCCCTTACTTGACACAGACTGTGGTTCTGTAGATACTTTTTATTTCCTGTAGTTTCATTTCTCAACGTCATTTCTGTAACGTACAGGATACTGTGATCACAGATCATAAATTCTGTTTCAGAAAATGTATGGAATTTGTACACTTGCTATAAACTTGCATAGGCTTTTTAAAAAACCTTTGGATTTCACTGATGAAATATGAGAACAATTCTTTACAGAGGCAAAGAATGAAGCTGTACTGGATGGGAAATGCTCTGGCAAATCTTACACAATGATTTTATTACCTAATGTATTCATCACTATAAGCCTGCAGATGTAAAATATTAATGTATTTGCCCTGGAGAACTGAAAGCTTTAGACTCCCAAAACAGGTGGTTTTATTTTGACCGTTCTTGGAAATAGATTTTTGGCCCCAGTGTCCTTGTGTTAGATCTCATTATGTGTCTTCAAATGACATTTTTTCACAAACATTTCTGAAAGAGATTTTTGGAGAGTCTGAGAGTCAGTCAGTCTTCCTCAAATGCTTCACGCCCCCCTGAGCATACCCACAAACCCATGATTTTACATGCAGCTCTTGCTTTGAGAAGAACAAATTGTAGCTCAAATCTGAATGGTGTCAATTTTTTTCCTGGATGTCTGGAGATCATTTTAGTTTGCATCATCCAAAAATAGATCAAAACTTTTAAATATTATTATTTTGCTTAGAAAAGTGGTATCCATGGTAACATGAGGACAACATCAGAATTCTGTTACAAGTGGCAGTCTTGTGTTAAGGCACTTGACCCTCCAAAACTGCTTGTTGCAGCCAGAGACACAACACAGTACACACACTAGGATCCTTCCCATTCACTGCTCTCCTGCATGCTCCAAAAGAAAGTTACTCCAGAACATACCATCAAGTATTCTGGAAAGTAATTTTGAAACACTTTTCAGATAATGACAATATGTGAATCAGACATAGCCTACGCCCCAGTGACCAGATGGTATTAGCATAACACCTTCCATGTCAGTTGCATATGACCCATTTTGGCAAAGACTGCTGTCAGTGAACAACACTGTGAATTATTTAATACAGAAAAATTGTGTGATTTGACTTGTGGCTGCCTCAACAGAGCACTTTCATGGCCTGGAGGGGGGTGTGGGGTGTGTGTGGCTTCCTTCCCTCCAACCTTCTGAGTGTGTGCCTTGCATCCAGACTGATTGCCTGGGCCCTAAGCCTAGCTGTGGGGTTAAGACACAGTGCAAAGCACAGCTCACATTTCTGTATGGCAGAATGAAAAAATGGAAGAAAAAATATTTATGCAACAGGATCCAGATTCTCAGATGGCATAAACTGGCAAAACTCTTTTGCAGCTAATGGTACTATGCAAATTTAAAACCTGCTAAAAACCTAACCCATAATATTCTGCTAAAAGATGCAAAAAAGATATTGACTTTTTCCTTGAGATCTCTGAACTGTATTAACAGTAGGACTAGAACAGTTAACAGCCTGTTAACTGTTAACAGCGGGGTGCCTGGAGGCTACCTTCATCAGCAATAACATCATCAGCAACAGACTGATTTTAATTAACAAGAAACTGTCAAATATATCTTGCTACTTATGCATAGCAATATGTGCTTCTCACAATGTGAACTTTCAGGATACCGTGCTTTTCCACTTAAAAATAAATTGTTCATAAAATGGTAGAGTGGTTATAACATGAACATCATAAATACAACTCACCATGATATTTTTGTGGATGAAGCCTCGTCTATACCTTGCAGGCTTCAGATGTGGGTATTCTTCTGTGCTGGTAACTCTGATATTCCAGACCTTTTTCCAGGCATCATAAAGTTGAACGTGTACTGGATAGACTCCAGAATGGTGTGGAGCCACCGCATAGCCCAAATCAGTTGGAATACTGTGTTCCTAAGACATAACAGACTGCTTTCAAAAATGTAAGAAACTTGATGCTTTGGCATTTCTCAAATCCTTTGTTTGTGAGAGACCAAGAACAGCTCTCAAATGCAAATAATGGTGATATCAAAATATGCTGATATGTAAGGGAGATGGAAGGCAGCATGGTGAAGATGAATGTAGGATTTTAATACAAAAGCCTTTTTAATAAATAATTTTATGAGTATATAGGGAAGAGTGATATATATGTATTTTACATTTGATTTCTTCAATCTACATTAAACAGAAAGCTGCACTCTTTCCAGTTCTTACAAGGAACTTGCTCACAAACTAAGAATTTGAGAGAAAATTACCGGCACATCTTCAACACAACAGGTAGCATTTGGCAGTTATAATAACAAAAATGAGATTTCCACTACATGTCCCCACAATATTACTTGGATTGTTAGCTGAATTTCAGAGAGTCACTCTGCATTTCCCCCCTAGTCCACTCGAAACACAAAACCATATTCAAAAGCCAGCTTAACCATTTCAGTGTCATTTTAAAAAAGGAGAAAAGAAAACCACTTGTAAAATTCTGAGGATAATAGGCAAATGTTGTAGAATAACCCCTTTTGTAGTACATCATCTATTTTTGCAGACTTCTGCCATTTATCTTGTTTACACACTGACCTTGCGGATATTACCTTCTCTTGACATTCAATATATTTTCTTTCCACTTTCTGGTTTCCAACATACTCCAGTGAATTTTTACACCCCTTCTCCTTTCTTTCGGGTTACTTTTCAAAGGAACAGTATGTAACAGATATTTCTCTGATAGTCTGATTAGCAGAATACACTGTCCATAAGATGTTGCTGCACTCCAATGACTTAGGAAAACTGCCTTTACACAACCTTTGAATTCTGTTTAAGAGGTTTTTATATTGTTTGTATTTGTACAGTCATCTTCATATTTTCTAGCCATACTTTGTGTGCAAAGGTAAGAGTTGGTTGCTACTTGGGTCCCTTCCTTTGAATAAACTATAGTTACTAAGGAATATGAAAAACTAAGTATTATATCAAAGAAAAATGGCTGTGTGACCTTAGTAAAATAATCTTTCTTCATATTTTCTGGAGAAGGACCATCTACTGCAGGAAAGCTAATGTACTGGTCTTAAAAAGCTTAAATAGTCAGGATTCGATATTAGATGTATCTGTTACAATTTAAATACGTAAGTTCACTAACAGCTCAAAACAAAGCAAACTCACAAAAAGCAGCATTTGCTTCTGCTCTGGAAGAACATGAGAAATAAGACTAAAGAGGTGAAGGCTGCAAGGGAAGAAAGCTATTTCTTCCTCATTAAAGGGCTACTTTGAACCTAGTACAATGGCATGTGTAACAGACAGGTATGGTTTAATCACAGTGGACAGCCCTAAATTTTCTATATTTAAAAACCTGGTGAAATTATTATTCCCCTTCAGCAATTTCTGCCACACATAATGAGGTGTGAGATTTTACCACCCTGAGGCTGGTGCAGCTTTTGGAATTCTCGTCACCATGCTGCTCCTGGGTAAGATCCAAACACCCCACTAGCAATCCTGCTGCACCCCGGGAAGTGCGTCACCTGCTGATTTACAGCCGGGGTGCATTAGGTGTAACGTGCCAAGGTAGGAATGAGTAAGATCTGGCCTGTTGGTTTTACTGCATGAGAGATAAAGAATGGACACGCCATCAGTTACACAGCTTTACACCATATAATTCCATCACAGATATTTCAGTTCCTCTTCCTTTTATCTTTCCTACTTCCCTTAAGCATGCATAAACATCAGAAAGAAAAATGTTTACAGAACATGTAAGAAATTGCATTCTCTAATGTCCCATTTAATCTTCTTCATTCAGCTACAAAGAAATGTCTGATTTTTAAGTTTTCCCTCAAGTTTTACAATAAGCAGTAATAAATATGTAATTAAAATCTTTCTTTCTAATTATGAGCCTATCATCTTCAATGTATCAGTGTCTCCATTATTTATTAGTGACTGTAATTCCTAAGTTGAGCATTTCACACACAATATACACATTCAGTTTGATAATGCATGAGGGATCAGCATTTCAGCCTCTTTCAAAAAAGCAGGATACTTATCTCTGTTACTCATTTATATACTTCAAGCAAATGAAGCATGAGTAGCTTCATGTCTACATGTCTATAAAGAGCTTCTCACACACAAAAAAATTAATATAAGGTAACTGTAAGTATTGAGGGCATTGAAAGTAATGAAGAAAAAAGAAACTGATGAAGTTACCTAAACCAGGGTTGAATATGAATTATTCTAACAACATACTTTAATGGTTACATACTGTAGACTAATCCCAGAGGATGTCTTAGGTCACACCAAAACTACAAGAACTAATGCAGTGGAGCTTGCAACAGTACACAGAATCATAGAAAAAAGGAAATTTTGGACACAGGGTTTTCAAATTTTCATGGTTCTAACTTCTATTGAAATGCTTTCTTTAAAGGAAACAGTAAAATTGAGCTGGTGTCTACTCAGTACAACTACAGATTACAGTAAACTTGATAAATCTTTGGTTGAAAGAAAGCATATACCTTACTTAAAACCAAAGTTTTCAAATACAAATTTTAATTGTTTGATATTCTAGGTCTATACCTTCCTCCTACACTCACTGACACAGGCCCATAAGTGTTTTGTTCTGTTATTTCAAATTCCCCTGCTCTTTCAAGGAACAAAGTCATTTAACTGCCAGCTAAAGAGCAACCAGTGTATTTTGAAAAGGGGGAAATGAAATTAGGCTGCTGGAAGAATAGATGTATTTCAGCAAACAAGTTATGTTTGCTGAGATATTCTGATATAACACTTCTTTATGTGTTTACATCGGAACATTTCTTCGGACAAATAATATGTACTATGTACAGCAGTTTGGTTTGGTTTTACTGAATAGAATAAACTGTAGACAAAAGGTAAGTCTGTTTCTCTATTAACCCCAGACCTAAAGATCTGGTTTTATTTTTCTTATATTCTCACTGAAACTTCATTTTTCCAGAGCTTTGCTGTGAATAAATAATTAGTAAAGGCAATGCTTTCAAAACAAGTGTTTACAAAGCTGATCCAAAGGGCAAATGTAAGATGTTATTAGGTATCACTGCAGAAAAGCATTTTTGAAAATGTTGCACACTTGATTTATCCTAACATACAGTGTTTTCATAAAGTCATTTGACACATTTTGATGGATCATTTATTCTCGCAAAAAATTAGATTTTTTTTCTAATCTAAACAAGGGGTTATTTGAACAAAATTTTATTTAGGAAAATATTGAAACAGAAAAAGTTTTATCTATATTGACTTTCCAAGATGAGAACATACTAATTCTTCATTCTGAAATAATTTTTCCATTCAAAATTTTTCATAAAGTAACACCGAAAAAATCAAACTTCAATTGAAGAAAGAACTGTAGAAAAACATAATTTTCATAGCTCAAAATAGAGCAACTGCAAAAAGCACTTTACCAAAACTTTCTCTGTTTTTCAATTCATTGAGATTAAAACAAACTCTACAAGGATTTTCCAACAAGATAGGAATAATAGTTTCTGAATACCTAAATTCAATATAAAATGCAAAAATATAACTCACTAAGGCAAATTTTTTGTTGAGGATCATCTGCTCCACCAGTGATGACTCATTGTGGAAGAGGTGAGGCTGCATGTGACTCCACATATGGGGAAACCACCAAAACTCATCTACAGACCTCAACAACAGGTCATCACCTTCATCTTCCTCCTCAGTGCCTGCAAAAAAAACCCCAAAGAATCTCTGAAGTCTCTACTTTTATTATATTCTTGTAAATGTTTAAAAATATAAGAAATAAATTGGCATAGTAAAATGTGACCATTTAAAGTGCTGAGGATTTTAAATGTTTCCAAGTACATATTCCTTTTCTTGAAGTAACCACAGCCAAGTAAAAGACTGAGTGCCCCATTTTCATGGAATTTTGAATACATGGGTACAACACTGTCCTCACATACATGTGCTGTATCAGTAACATCAGTATCTAAGGGATGGAAATTGTCTACAAGACAGTTTAATACAGAGTATAAGTGAAAATGTTAACAATTCTTTTCTGGTATTCCTAATCCAAACTAAATTCACTCCCCAGTCAAACTTCTTTTGTTACCTGTGATACGTGGATGTATTTTTTCCAGCAGCCTTTTTAAAATATTATGCTTAATACAATTATTTTCTCTTCAACCACTAATCCTTACCTTTCTGATCACGACTTATTGAAGAGTTCCCAGGAATCTGCATCTTTGAAGAGGCTTAAAGGGTAACTGGAGCTCACCAAGGTATTTCACAGATAAATCCTTTCTCTCAGCATTTTGCAACATCCATTCTCCTTTTTTCATCACATTCAGCTCTAGTGTTATCTGCATCCATACAGCTATACTCTCACTATATGCCTTTCGCTTTTTCCTCTTTCCTTCAGCAAACCTTGTCTGATATACCTTCACTGTTGTGATTTTATTCCTTATTACCTCTGAGGGAACTGCAGCAGTGAATGAAAAATGTGGGCAGACATATGTAATGATGTGCCAATATTTGTAGGATCATTAGATTTTAGAACCCCACATGAATCCATAGGGCCCTGTGTGATCTTCACACACAATTTAAGAAAAGTGAAAGGAGCGTCTGAAGGTCAGATGAGCCAGACTGGGGAGAAGAAAGCACATCAAGAAAGGAAGAAAACTACAGCAAGGGATGGGCTGTAACAGAGACAGGCTCAACTCATTCAGTTTACAGCCAGTATCTGGGTCAGTTTGTACTACAAACATGCAATACCTTTGCCAAATCCCACTCAGCCAAAACCATGAAACCCATGCGCATGTTCTCTACAAAGCATCTGAACTGTCAACTGAGGCAAAAGAAATGGTCTGGAAAGTACCTCTGCCTGCTGAGACACTGGCAGGTGACAAAATTGGCAGTCAGGGCCATTTTGCTGGGCCATTTTAAGCAAAAGAAAGGGGAGGGAGGGATGGGAATGGATGGAGCAAGTGATGTCCTGAATGTGAAAAAAGTTTAGGCATCTCTAGTCTCTCTGAACCGTGCAAGTGACACCTAGACTGCAGGGGTGAAACCTGGACATTTACCAAGTCTAGCTGAAGTCTGCTGAGCCCAGGAGATACCTGTGGAGGGACTGTGCAGCCCAGCTGCTTTCTTGTCCAGTTGTTCAGCTCTAAATAACAGACTTCTTTCCCTGCCTCTTCTCAAAATTACAAGTAATACAGACTAAGGTGCACAACTGAGCACGAGGAGTTAACACTTATCCTTCTGCTATTTAACATGCACAGCAGTTAGGCATATTCAAGCTCTATGTATCTTCCTTCGGTTTTTGAATAAATCCGGTTTTGGTTCCTAGCCTTAGCTAACATGTCACTTCACTTCCCTCTTTCACATTAACATCCTTCAACTTTGACATTATCTTGTGTTGCCTTTTGTCTCTCTCTTCCAGAATCTGATGTTATCCTATTTTGCATGTGTGTCTTTTTCTTTCTGTTGGACAGTAGAGAGCACCTTCTTCCTTCTATATTACATCCTATTTTATACCTTATCTTTCATTTGTCCCTATTTCTACAACAGTATAAGTATAAAATTATTTTAATGGGTAATATATATTGCTATATGTCTACAGTAGAGATCAAACTATCCAAAAGAATAAACTGTGGTAGCTCAACAGATCTCTCAGTGAAGTCAATAGAAAATTTCATTTGATCGATGGAATTTACCACTCAACAACAGGTTGAAAGGAACTGAATTTTAATGAAAGAGGAAGAATTCAATCTGTTCCACACTGGTACCTAATGCAGGCATCACAGATTACTAGAATTATAGGTGCCTCATTCCGAGATGTTCCAGCCCACCTAAAACTACCACCTAAATTCTCTGTGTGCTCAGAAAACAGATGCAGAGAAAAATCCAGTTCACCCACTCTATGTGCCTCCCTCTCCCCATTTCCTGAGAGAGGTTCTGTAGTGTCTGAGATAGCTCAAAGTGAATGAAATTATAAAGAAACAGTAAGAGATGTGTTTATTCCCCCCTCAGGACTGATTTTACTGTTATCCAATGACATGTATGTAACACGTATAACCCCTATAGAAAGCTGTCACCCCAAGCCTGGAACACCTTCTTGCAGTATCTCCTCCTGGCCCGGTGACTCTGCCATTTCTGCATGTCCCAGCTTGCAGGAGGAGGAAGAACATTCCTTTTATTCAGGAAACTTGATAGACTGACAGTACACTTTTCTGAGGGGCTTAGTCTTTACCTTAGAACCTACAGCCTGGCTCTCCTACTCCCACATAATTTCTTTACTTATTGGACAATATATTATGCAAAGAATGACCACTTTCTTTCTTTTTTAAAAGAGTAACGGTGCTGCAAAGAGGTGTTTACCTACACGGTTATTCCCAAACAGACTACAGCTCAAAACAAAAGGTTAATCTGATATAATAACTTTAGGAGAAAAATTTGCTTTGGTAAATGACACAAATATATGTCCCGAAGAAACCTGGAAGAAAGAACAATTTGATTTTTTAGTGATGCTACTATGAAGGAAACTCTTCTTTCTATTCAGAAAGAAGTCTCTGTCATTCCTACTTTCCTCATACTACAAAGAACATCAAAATGAAAGTGATTTTAGTATCTCACTCTTACCTGTGTGATAAAATTTCCCTGAAAATCCCAGGTTGAAAGTAAAATTTGTAATCTGAGCTCTCAAGAGATTCTGAGTGTCAAGCAGGGCCTGAAAAAAAAAAACAACCCACCATATAAACATATCTGTAGTAAACACACCTGGCACAGAAATTTAATATAATATATTTTTACAGGTATATGTTTTTTCAATTGGTTTTGCTATTTAAAACCAGCTCTTTATCTGTTACTTTGCCATATACATTTTCATTATCATTTAAAGATTAAAGACAGCATGCAAACTCCATCATTTACCTCATAAAGATGACCAGCTATTAAAAACTGTTTTACTCCCTGAATCATGAGATAGGAAAACAAAGGCACAGATCAGAGAAAAGACCTTTCACTGATTAGCCAGTAAACCTGGGACATAGCCAGGAAATGAAATTCAGATCTCTTGTGTCCCTAACCACTGCTCCATTCACTAGGGTGAACAGTTAGAATTTATGTTTCTCTAGATCAGGTCAAGTACGTACACAGCATTTTAGCCATGTGTCAAAATTACTGGCAATGAAAAAAAAAATGCAGAAAGACAGAAAGAAGCTAGATGAAGTCTATTCCACATCAAATAACTTAATCCTAAATTCCCCCAAACTAACACATTTCTCAGACAGCATACTGGCTGTCAGCATACATGTACTTACATTAAATTAGTATAAACAAAAAACCAGCATGCAGGAAGACAGGGGAAAGCTATTATTCATCAGATACAGCTTCACTCTGATTTATGTGTGCTCTTCTTGATTTGTTACTCCCAAGATTTACATATTACTTTCAGGAGTTCTCTCCCAAACTGTTGCACTCTGCTGTTGTTCGCTCTCTTAGTTTTCCAGGTGTAACAAAGGAACCCAGCTTCCCAATGCAAAATAAAACTGCAAAGCAAGAACAAAGCAGAAGAGCAAAAAGCCTCCTCTATAATGAGACTTGGAGTGCACATTCCTCTAAATAACCTGCCTTCAACTGCACACTTGGTAGTTGGTAATTTATGAACACACTGGACTGTTTGGAGATTTGTGACACTGTGCACAGCACATCAGAAGTGTATGGCCAGCTACAGCATGCACACACACCCACTTGGAGACAGGCACTCATGCAGTACCTTCAAAAGAAAGAGAAACATTTATACAAAGGTCGTGAAAGAGTTTTCAAAGTCAACATACATTACAGCACAATGATTTTAATGAAGTGATTAAAAGCATTACTATTGTCAGAAATTAGTAACTCTAAGCACGTTATGAAAGGGGAATGTATTTTTTAAAAAGCACAGAAAGATTAAAATCACTGGATATTTTCAAAGGTTTAAAGGTCTTGTAGGCTCCCTACTCTTGAAATTCAATGACAATTTGGTGCCCTGAAAAATATGACCCAGTAATTTTAATTACAGTTTCTTTGGACATTTTCATTATATGAGTAATTTGTCTAAAACTATTTTTTTAACTGGAATGTCAATGACAACAAAACATGAGCATGGAAGTCAAGTCCAGCTTTAGATAGGGGTATAACATAATCAAGTTACAGTTCCTTAAAATATGACCTGTTTTACAGATGGAGAGGGATATCTACCTTACCAGAGAAGCTTTTGGGCACACAAGCTCTTCTTCAGGTCTTTTCCAGGGCTCACCTATATCGATTCTAGTAAAAGTAGGATCTCCACCTGCAAACTCTGTCAAGCCTGTTTTCTTACACTGCCACACCTACAACATTGTAGGGAGAAAACCAGGCAAAGGATGACCATAGCAGGGGCTGCCCTGTGCACCAACCTCAAGAGAGACCCGAGGCAGCAGCCCGAGCAGAGTTCCCATGCCCAGGAAGAGGTGGTCACACACCACAGCTGTTGCTTCCATCCCAGCTCTGTGCCCGCCTTTCCCAGCACCCCTTTTCCAGAGGTCAGCATTTTCACCTGGCCCCATGGAGAGACAGCAGCACTGCTCGAAGCAGGAACACAGGTGCTTTCAAGTCCTCTGCTACCCTGCATCAGAGGCCTCAGCCAGCTCATGAAGCTTGTAGCTCTGGCTGGCTCAGGGAAGCTGGTGCTTGAAGGAGCTCATCTGCACCAAAAGGACAGGCAGCCATTTGTCCCCATCCTAGAGTTTTGCAAATCTGAGTTTTGCTGACATGTCTAACAAAACGAGTGGTTTCAATTCTGAGTCATCAGTAGTACTTGCCTTGTTCACCATTTCAGCAGAGCAGAACATTATGCCTAAGCATATTCACTAAATATATATTAACCACAAAACTAAATCTGTGAAAGAACCATCACTTCTGCTTCCTATTTCTTAAGTTCCTTTCAGATCTGGAAGTAATTTGCCACTCCCACTGTTTTCTTCAGCAGCATAGCTCCAACAACAACAGTATAGGCAGTTTCAAAGAACAGTACTAGTAAGGTAAAGATCATTTTTCACTGGAAAGCCTGGAAAATGTTCTGCAAACAAGGGACTTTCTAAGGGAATGAGTAAAATGAAGCACAGAATGAAGATAATTGAAAACAAGCTTGAGATGTGTGAAGTGGAATATTAAGAGAAAAATCTTGCAATGCTGTAATGAGGGCTTTTGCACAGGCTGAGAGTGCAAAGATCACCAAGGAGACTTCTTATTCTAACGAAAGGTAGAAAATCTGTAGAGGATTTATTATGAAAACCATCCATGAGCTGCTGGGAATGTATTCACAGAAATAATTTTTTGTACCGTTAAAAATGTAAGAGGCAAATGATATGGCTGTACATTTATTACATTAACAGTACACACTCTTGAATGAAAAGATCCTGAGTGCAGCTTGACAGCAAGGTAGCATGAATGGGCTGCACAGATCTTTCCCTCCAAATTAGATTAAGACCTGTGAGCATTTTTTGAGCTGAAGGTCTGTACCTTTCTAACACCTTCTCAGCTTGTCAGCTCCAGTCTAGTCTCAGCATGATGGAAAAACAGAATGAGAAAACCAAAAAGCAGCTGGAAACACCAGAGAAACACAACCTGGAAGGAGATCTTTGCTGCACCTCCCTGGCACACTGCAGCTACAGGGCTGACAGAAGTCGCAAACATCAGCTTTCAAATTAAAGGGGGGAGAAGGGTAGGAAAAAGCCCATGATAATGCATCATAGAGTTTACTTCTTTGCTCAGAATTAATTTTGCTAATGTAGTTACACCTTCTTGCCTCAATGACTGCCTGATGTCTGCATTTTTATTTAGGCCAGCAGCCACAATATCCAAATCACACTCAAATAACACGAAACTCTAAAGGAAATCTGAAGTTCACCTTCTACAGAATGGCTGTTGTTTTTTTTTGGCAACATTACTCTCATTAAAATCAACAGGAGATATTCTGCTAAAGCCTTGTGGTGGTGTTTGAAAATGTATCAGCTAATACCAACGGTGTACCTGCTCACCTGCTCTCTCTGCAAAGAGGGAGGGCACAGGCCTGCTGTGAACCACTTTTTGTGCAGACAAGCTGAGATAACATTTGAGTTGTCATGCCTATGATTATTTTCTGCGTGCCTTGACATTTTACTCATCTTTCAGGTTCTAAAAACAAAATGTTAAAACTCATGAAAAATATATAGTAGCAGATGGCAGGGCCTATTACTGTGAGTTTCTATCAGAAAGAGAGAAAGAGAGAAGCAAAGGGACAAAAAGCTTGAAATTTCATTTCTAAATGCTGTTTTATATGCTGAAGGTAAGCTGGTGATATTTTCTGTGTATTTTATGACTGGCTTATGAACAGCCCTCTGGGTATCCGTAGAGATGTCACATAAATACACTAGTACTAAAGATTATATTTTACAAACTGGTTAGTAAAGCCTTCATATGTTTCTAAATAATTATTTAGTACATATGTTATACTTCCACTGGTACTATAAGGAAAATAAATTGCTGGCTGCATGATCACTTTCATGTACATAGCTACAATGGATTACTTTCTATTGAACTTTTCCTAGGCTCACATACTGAGTTTAGGAAATGCCTTGTGCCAGAAATCAAATGTAGAATTCAATATATGATGAAAGACGCCCTTCTTCACCAACACTCCAGAATAACCTCAGAAAAAGACCTTGTTACAATCCAAGGAATAGACAAAAGTTATCCCGACAGCAAAACAACAGGGGTCTCATTCCTTGCATCTTGCAAGTTTATAATATAATGAAAGGAATATAAGAAATCATGTATATTGTAGATAAAGCCAGATTCTCAATGATTAATCAGCATCATCCCATTTTAGTTCTATTAAATTTCTGATGAAACATCTCAGCAAATGTAAGCTGCTGTAATTGCAATGGGATCTCAACTGACTGAGAATGTAGGAGAAAATGGACCCAACATCACAATGGAACAGAAGGAACCATGAGAATTATGCTTTAATTGAAATATTCACGCAACAGAAATGTATGAAAATTCCTTCCTTCGTACAGATGGCCTCTTTCTTTCTTGACAACAATTTCATTCATAAATATCAACTTTGTTTACAACATAAACAGTTTTATTTGATTTTTCTCATCTTATAGACAGGACAAACAGAGGCACAGACAGATGACATGGGTTGTCAAAAGCTCTTGCTCAAGTAAATAAGCAGTAAGGCCAAGGATAAAACTCATATTGCCAAACTTGTTTCCCATTTCCACAGCCAGAAAACCAGCCTGCCTGCTGTCCTCGAATATCTCTTTACATGATTTCACTTTATAGTCTGTTGCAGAGAAGTCACAAGTGTCAACTTGTCTTTGGTAAACAGACAGTAATAATTTCTTCAGCATCAACAAAAATATTCAGACTCAAAAATCTTGGCTGATCAAACAAATAAATCAAGAATGTTTTGTTGAACTCTGCTTCACCAGAGGAACTATGAATTCTGTCTGTAGTCACACCAACATATTTATGACTATTTTCCTGCTCAAAAGCTGCTAAAGAACTTAGTCACTCCAAAAGCAAAATAGTCCAAAACACTGTTAATTTTCCTTGTAATGACACGGATTTTAACTAAATTGCTAAGCAGATACACATAGCCTCACAATGCTGCAGCATTAATATCCTAAACTTCAAATCAGTACCTGCTTTCATGTCAGT